AATGTTCTAACTTTGATTCAAGTAGATGGTTTGAACTTTTTAAACAAAAAACAAAAATCAAAGAACTGATATCTGTTTTGATTACGATGAGAAAATACCAGCATGTTTGCGATCTTGAGGGGTGCCAGACTTGGCAAGAACCTCAAGATCAACCAGACTCAAGGACATGAGTCCTAAAGTGAGCCCTGACATCATTCCAGCAAACAACACAAGCAGCACAATTATCAGTAACCGCATGAAAAACTGAGTTTCACAGCACTTGTATTCCACCGCCATTGAAACCACTCTCGAATATGTTGTTGATGATGTTCTTTTGTCTGAATCCTAGCGAGAGTTAGAGCAACACCTCCATAGCTTTAAAGGGTGTCCAAGTTATGTTGAAAAGATGGTTTTGTTTAATAAATGGAATGCGATAGAAGGTAGACGAATGTTGGGTTTGTTTGAGAGTGGTTTTTCCCGAAAGAAGACTGTTACCAAAATGAATACTAGAGTTACTCAAACACAACCCTCTATGTGGGTAGGTCGGTGAGAGATCATAGTCATCGAATCGTTATGTAGCTTGCGAAAGAAGGGACCCACACAGCACAAGTTGGCATTTTAGTAAAGATGCCGTGTGTTCTTGCGTTGGATAATGCCCCTTTACTACTCATGCAGACACGAACAACATAAATACGAGATTGTTCCTGGTTCTGATTCTTTTTCTGTTTCCTTTTGGTAAATTAATGTTCTTCGTCCCACTACTTGTTGGAAAGAAGATGTAATAAAGAGAACAGGTGAACGGACATTATCAACAGTGAAATCAGAAAGAAGGGATGCTTCTTTCTTTTGAACGTGCTTCTTTAAAAAGAATGCTTTTTTTTTTTTTATATTGAAAAACATGTTTGAAATGTTTCTTGGTGAAATACTTACGGGGTCGACAGAGAGTTATTTATTTTCAAACATATAACTTATAGTCCAATACATAACTTATTAATTATGTCTTGTATTATGATAAAAAATAAATTATATATGATATAAATCTTATATTAATTTTTCCTAATTTAAAATATATGTAAACCTCAACAAGTAATGTATGAATAATAGAAATATAAAGTTAACCACACTCTTGAAAAATACTAGTAATGTATGAATAATACAAATATAAAATTACACCTCAAAAACTATAAATGAGTTTATTTTATAATCAAGAGTTCTATCATCCAAAAGGCATACTTATTAAGAACAACACTTTATCATCGATAAAACACATTTATGGTATACCAATTTTCAAAGTGATGAAGGGAGGAATGGTGGAAGGAAGTGTTGATGATAGAAGCACAGGGGAGGACAAAAACACAAACACGGGCAAAATATTGATAAACATGAAAGAGAAAAATGTCATGGAAGAAGGGAGTGTTATAAAACCTTTGTTATAAATATATTGAAAAAATTTTAATATTTTTTTTTAAGGAAAATGACTATTTCAATTAGAATAGTAATAAAAAAAATCTTAAAATACTTTTTTTTATCGAATATAAAAGATTTGAACTAAGATTTTGTGATGAATAGGATAAAGTATTTGTATATATGAGTATATAAGTTCATCTTAAAAAAAAAGGAAAAAATCGAATAAATTAATTGTAAATTTGTATATATTGTATTATTTCTAATATTAAGAAAGAACTAAATAATTGTAGAGAAAATAGAATTTTTATTTTTTATTTTGGCTCGAATTGTATTGGTCAAACTTGTTTGTTGACCAAACTCAATGTAACAAATTTATTGTTAAACGATTTTTTCTTTTGCAAAACTTTGGATTTAATCTAAATGTAGTTACAAGTATCGTAAATTAACATGACAAAATTTTAGAAAAATCACTTTTTTTATTAATTTACTTTACAACTACAATTGATTTATAAATTTTCTTATTAAATAGAAAATGGATGATTTTAAATCAATGCTTCCATAGATCAATTTAAAAAACTTTCTAAATATTTTTCGATAATCTAATGTTAAAAATGTTGTTTATTATTAAAAATGTGAAAGATGACGTTATTTGTGTTTTTCAAAAAAACAATAATTGTGAATGAAAGGTGAGGTAAGATGAAAGAGGCAGAGCCATCCCTATTCAAAATATTGATTTAATTAACAACGTATGTTTCATCCTTTGAATCAAATCTACTCATGACCCAACAAAAAACAATTAAACCCTTTGAATCAAATCTACACATAGGCCAAGAAAATAAAAAATAAACGACAAAAGAAATTCTACAATGTTACATCACCATCAACTTCTACATCATCTCTAAAATAATTACCAATAATTTGCATAAAAATGTTTTATTTACACAATTGTTGAATTAAATATTTTTCTTGTTTGTTTATATCAGATTTGTCGAAATTAGAAAAATATAATCAAATGAATTTTGTTTTATAAATTTTAAAATATACATAATGTAAATATAGAGTATAAGTACTTTTAGACACTAACATACCATTAGACAAAGTTTTGAAATTTTGTAATCAAGAAATAAATTTTGAAATAAAACTAATAAATAAAAACGTTCAACAGTGTAAAAAGGTAGTATAAGTAGGCTTATCTTTCATATCAGAATATTGCTGCTGTTATTTAGCCCTTATTTTGATGGTTGACCACTAGTTCAAGTAGGTAGGATTTGAATTTATTTATTCTTTTACGTACTTATGCTTCATTGATTTCTAAACTGCTACTCTCAAGAAAAGAGAAAAGACGAAGAAGAAAATTATCCTCTCATGATTAAAATCTAATTAAGTCAGTTTGAATACGAAACTCTCCGATTTTGGGTGGGAGGACAAACTCGTAGCATTCTAAAAGTAAGTTTAAATAATATTTTTGTAAATTATTATTTTCAGATTATTTTTTATTATAAAAACTATTATAGTTTAAAATTAAAAAAAAAAGTTTAAACTGAAAACAAATAGTTAAATTTAAATTGATAAATACTTATTTTGATGAAAAATATATTTAAAGAATAAAATCAAATGTGTACACAAAATATATGGAATCTTCTTTATATATATATATATTATTTTTTTCCTATTTTCTTTTAATTGTTCAATTTAGTATTTTCTTAATGTTAAAATGTTTCATTTAATTATATAAAATATTAATTTAATCTTCAATTTTTAGTGTCATTCTAATTATAGAAAAACATTATATTGAATATTTTTCAAACATTAAATAACAAAATAATTATATGTTATGTAAAGATAACAGTATGGGACGAACTAAGTATTTTGATCTGTTTAGGCATTTGATCCGCATTTGATGGGTCAACTTGTATGGTTAACTCGCATTTGATCCGCATAGTTTACATCAATTTAAATTCTTAAAATCTAATAACGTTAACATAACATGTATGTTTTTTCTAAATACATTTTTTTCTCCATTTATCAACAAGTACCTCTCTTGTTCATATCCAATCCATCTAAAAATAGATCTCTCGTTAGTGTTTTTTCTCATTTTTTAGTCAAATTCAAAATCATTTTTATTCTTAATAGACTTGTACTTAATAATTATGATTTATATAATTAAAAGTATCACTAATTTTTAAAAATAATTTTATAAAAATTAGTATTTCTATTAATTTAATTAAATAATAAAAAGTTTTAAAACTGATCACAAATCTGCCTATCAAACATTATTTGTGGTAGTAAAAGAAATTAGCTTATATTTTTTTATAAGGGAAGGTGGCTCCAAACTATTTTTTATGAGTCAAATACGAAATAAGTCAAAACGGATAACCAATCCCTATTATCATCTTTAAGTATACGTGATTTTGTAAATAATTAATAAAATTTATATGATATTTTTTTATTAAATTTTTTTATTTCAATTGGAGTAAATATAATTTTATTTCTGTTATGATAACTTAGATAAAAATCATTATAAAAAAATATTCTTTTTTGAAATTTTCTTAACAATTAAATCAAATATAAGAAATATTAATTTTCTAATTTCAAATTTTTAATAAGTAAAGAGTTCTCTTATATTATACAACATCAAGCATTCTTCTTTATCAGCCTACAATGCATGTATTTTCTTTTTTTCTATACATTTAATGGTAGACCACTCACTTCTGGGTAGTATGTTTTGTTTTTTGTTTTTTGTTTTTATTTTAAGTTAAATCGTCCTGGTCTATTATTATATTTTAAGATGAGTTACTTTATTTTTATTTTTATTTTTATTTTGATCTGTGTTTAAGTGCAGCATTTTTATTTTCCTGATTTAAGGAAATAAAAATAACTCATGTTATATTTTATAAAAAAAAACGTTAAAAAGGAAATGTTTTTAAAAGACATTAAAAATGATTATAGTTTATTTAAGAGACTAAAAACATATTATATTAAACGTTTGTTCAATCTTTTTTATGTTATTTCAGAAAATTATCCCAACCACACCTCCAGATGACCACAATCAGTGGATTTTCTTTGGAGAGACCCACCCATGTTACATTAACTTTGATCCATTCAATCATTATTAGCACCAAAAATCATCCTAACACATTATCACGATCCACTGTTAAACTTATTTCAATTCAATAAAATATCCCAATATTATCTCTTCTTTAATAGTTCAAACTTCATTCTCTCTAGTACAAAAATGTCTATCATTTTACCACCAAAACATACAAAACTTATGGTTTAGGTTCACATTAAGTGAAAATCAACATTTCATCCAGTTATATTAAATTTAATAATTTACTGTATATTTTTAAAAGCCAGTAAAGTAATTGAACATTTCTTTATGTATACGTAAATTAATTTTATTTTGGATTATATTTTTTTTTCATTTTCCTATAACTCAAAAATATCAAAGGAAATTTTGAAATATATATAAAAAGAAGAAGTAATTTTGGGAAGGTAGTGATTGACTAGTGTGTGAGTGCACAAATAACTAACCCAACCAAATAGGGAAATCAATACAGTAATAAATAATGGATAATAATGCAAAAAATTAATCCAAAACAAATAAAAGAAAAGAAAATAAAATAAATATATTAATGCATGAACCCGAATCCACCGCCTTGAGTTGTGAGTCTCTTTCAGTCACAGCACAGAGGAAGAGCACACTGCACAGATCTGGGTGGTGACTGAAGGGATCTACCCTCTTTCATTTCTCATCACTATTGTTGGGTAAGCTCTTTTCTTAATTTTCCCTTTTACCCATTTTGCTTCTCATGCACTCTATGTGGTACAAGATCACACCTTTAATCATCAACTTAGCCTTTATCATTTTTTTTTCTTTACTACCTTCACATCTATATCACTCACTCAATTCGATCTGTTTCGTGCTTGTACTCTATTTTAAGTTAACCCCCATTTTTGGGTTTAGTTCCACTGGATCGATTTGCTTTTATTTGTTGATGCTTCATGGTTTATGTTCTGAAAAGGGTGTTGTCTATTTGAGCTTAAGCTTAGTGTATTAAGTCCTTAGAAGTATAGTTTTCTTAATGTATTGGAGCTTTTTGGAATCAATTATGACTTATGTGTTTGTTAAGTAGAACTATCAACTTCCCACGTTTAGAAAGAGATACGAAACTTTAAGAAAGGAGTTTTGCCGTACTGAGTTTGATGGGATTGTTAGGCGAATTTTTCTGTGTGCAACTTTGGTACTTGACACTGCAGAATACACTGTTTTCTTATGGTCACTGCATTTGTTTAATTGGAAAACTGTTGAGATATGCACAAGATTCTTGTTGCAAGTGTACTGCATCTTGATCGTATTGATAAATGACCATGCCATGTGGAGCCTTTTAGCATTTGTTATGCATTTTGTATTATTTATTTCTCAACTAAAGCTAAATGGGTGGCCTTGGCTTCAAGAAAAGTTTATCCCTTGGAAAAAGCAGCGTAGGTAGCAGATACTTACAACTTATTTGAAACACACAACCGAGCTTGTTTCCATAACTTGTGGCAGGTCTGAAGGCTCATTGCCATTATCATGTCAAGGAGGCCAGGAAATCCTTCACGTCGGTTAGCTGATGATGGAAGTATACCATTTGTGGCGTCCATCCAGTCCAAATCTCAAAACTCTCCCCTCCTATCTATTGGGCTTGTGATTGTGGTATGTTTTCTTTGAAATATAATATGGAAATAGTCTGATTTCATTTCGTTTTATTTGCAATGTTTCTGTTTGATATACCATGAGTGCCCCAATCCCGATCCTGCATCTGTGGTATTTTCTACTTCTTATCCCCCCTGTACCTAAATCAATATACAGTTTTCTCAATTTACTATATTCGTCAGCTTGGTGTCAACACATTGTATTTGATAAGTTGACATTTATTAATTTTCAGGGTGCAATCTTCTTGATTGGTTATTTTTACAGCAGTTCAGGTTTGTACTCTGTCACCAATCTGGTCAATTGAAGCCTGGAGAAATAATAGAAGGATTTTGAAATTGTCGTCCTCCAAATATTGTGTTTCAAATGCCAAGCTACCTACCAGAGTGAACTTTTGATTTTGGATACAGTCATTTATACCTGATTACTGTACAACTTCCTTGGGTTTGTTAAGTTTTGATCGTGACTTTTTGGTCATTAAGAAAAATGTGGTTAAGGAGCGATTGATCTAACATTGCAACTGATGTACAACATGTAGTATAAATGTAATAAGTTGCCCAAGCGGTAGCAGAGAGAGCTATATGAAAAATATGTAGAGATTTGTGGAGGTCATGCTTTAAAAGTAAAAATAAAGAAAATTTCTTTGTAAACAGTCATATTTGGTAAGAATTTTGAGGTAGGTAAAAGGGCACGCTAGTCAAGTTTAGAAGAGAACACAAGTGTGCTAATTTCTCGATATCCATCAGATTCGGTGAATTAGTCAAATTCATTAAAGGAACTGTTTTAATACCTCTATCACCGTTTAAAATGAAGTGAAGAGCTTTAATGTCGGTTCAGTCTTTATCATAAACTAAATAAATACAAGTTCGTTCAGCATGTTGATTCATACATATTATACCATCCTCATGGATCCTAGTAATCCTCTAACTGATCATTTTGTCTCAATTATGAATTTTAGCCAGATTTTCTTTTTTATTTTTGTAAAATAGAAAGAAAAGTGGCTAACATCACTGCATAAACTAACAAGAAGATATATTCTGTTTCATGAACTTGCGCTTTGTATAAAATTCTATTGATACTGATGTTGACTTTCGTTTGTTTGGTCACATGGCAGGTGGAGCTAGTAGTGATGTTAAAGATTTTAGTAAACTTGAAGGTAACAAAACTAACTTTATCCTGTTTTATGTTTGAAAATGTTCTACTCACATAGAATTTCCCATGTAAGGCGGCTTAGGATGTTTATATGAAACTAAGGTAAATAATGTTTGAAATGATTCATTTCCTTTAATTTAGATAGTCCTTTGTGTGTCTCCTTTTATTTATTTCAATTCATTTCTATGTCTCTCTAAAACATGCACATTTTTATTTTTGACCTTGTGGTTTCATCCCATAGCTTGCTCTTGATTAAGGGTGGATAGTTTGGTTCAAAACTAGAAAGTTGTTGTTTGTTTTGGTATCACTATTGACATACAAGTATAGAACTATGGATAGGATTATCAGATTATGCATCGTAGTTTACCTTCAGATATTTAATTTGTTAATAACTTCTGTTTTTCTGGAAACATCCTCAATTATCCCTTCCGTAAATTTGTATCCATTTTCATGTTCTAAAATCTATATTGTGAAATTAATAATTGTTTTCTATTTTCTGTTTTCAAATCTTATCAACCAGAATAGTTTTATTAATCATGTTTATAATATCTGTCTATACCATTGGAATGGAATAGCTCGATGCTCAAACATAAGAAATTGCGACTGTTTGGGCTTTACCAAGAACTATTTTGATCAGATCAATACTGGAACTTTAAAGGCCTTGCAGTTCTGCAGTGGTTGTTCGTTGCCAGTTAGGTCAAGCATAGAAATGGGCCTTGTGGTTTGGCTGACTGGATTGAGGTAGTGTCAATCATCAGAAAGAGAAAATTGGATAATATATAAATGCGAGTCTTGTCAGCATTGAGAAAAGCTAACAAAGAGCAAGTGGCAAGAATTTGTTTTTCCCGTTTCCAATAAAAGATAGAAATTACTTTCAATATATTTTTTCTCTCTCTCAAACTCAATTAAACTAATTTTGTTGAAATTTTCTATATTTAACGAAAATGGGAACAGAAAATGCAGAAACCAAATAGACTCTTACATTATTGCCCTAAACGTATGAGAAAATAAAGGCTTGACTAGTTGATGATACTTTATTATATCTTATGGCTGGTTTTACTCTCTTACTGGGAGCTATATGATTCTGGTGGTATCATAATGGGGAAGTTAGACATTATCAACATCTTTTTGTACTTTAAGTATGTGCTCATTCATTGACATTTAGTATAAAGAATTGTAGATTTCAAATTTTAAGCAATTATTTTCAATTCAAACACCTCTGGTGTGCATATGCAGGTGGTGCATCATGCTCATCAGAAGTCCTACAGGCATTGCCCGTTTTGAAGAAAGCGTATGGCGACAGCATGCATAAGGTTTTGCATGTTGGCCCTGACTCTTGTCTTGTGGTAGCTAGTTTGTTAGAAGAAGAGGATACTGAGGCTTGGGGAATAGAACCTTATGAGTTAGATGATGTTGGTGCGAAGTGTAAAAGTCTTGTACGCAAGGGCATTGTGCGAGTGGCTGATATAAAGTTTCCTCTACCTTATCGAGCAAAGTCATTTTCTCTGGTCCTTGTGTCAGATGCATTGGATTACTTATCTCCAAAATACCTGAATAAAACCCTGCCTGAGTTGGCAAGGGTATCTGCTGATGGCGTTGTTATCTTTGCAGGTACATTGAAACTTAATATAGTACTGGATTTGTCTTAGGCATTTGTTTCTGCATATTATTTGGCTGATGAGGGTCATATTTGCCAAGACCTAAGCTATTCAAGTCATGATAAACTGATGACCTTTCAAGTTTTTTGTTGTCTTCAAATCATGCTCTTTTACTTTCATCATTCACAAGAAAAAAACTCATGTTGGCTGTGATAGAAAATTGAGTATCAATTCACTTCTGATTTCTTTCTTCTGAATCCCATTTTCATGTATAGGTTATCCAGGTCAGCAGAGAACTAGGGGTGAAGAAGTGGCCAAATTTGGTCGTCCAGTAAGTGACTGTATTTTATTGAACTTGATGCTTTCTTGACAAGATAGGAATTTAGGCTAATGACTGATCTTCACCATCAACATGATTGCAAACTTGCACATTCTGCATTTTTTTGCGTACTACATACGAGAAATCTATTGGTGCTGGTTAGTTAGTATAAATTACTAGATGGAAAGGGTTACAAAGATGATTTTATTAGGACAAAAAAGAAAGTACAGAGAGGAAATAGAAAATTGTTGTCCTAGATTGAAGTAAAGGAAATGACAAATTGCCATAATGCATTGGGAAGTCTTAAAGATAATTAATATTTTTGTTTTAATTATGTTTTTAGTCTCTGAAATTTAGAATAAATTTAGTTCTGTGAATTTTTGTTTTTGCCAAAACTTGGAAAAAAAATTATTGGTCAGTAATACAGTTTTAAAAATATCGGCAAAGAACTAAGCATATTGATTAGTGTTAGGTTATATTACCCAAAACATTGTCATTAATTCAGGTTTTCCCCTTTTGGTTGTTTTTATGAAGGCCAAGTTGCGCAGTTCGTCTTGGTGGATAAGATTTTTCGTTCAGACTGGTTTAGATGAAAATGAAACTGCTGGAAAGAAGTTTGAACAGGCTTCAGTGAAGAAGGCATACAAACCAGCATGCCAAGTTTTTCACCTCAAATCATTACCTTGAAACTTCACTCTATTATTTTTATACTTCACTTAATTAATGCTTACAAGCTATGCTTTTGAGATGGCCATCTTTAGCACCCGAAGGGTAAAGTTCCATACATTATTCTGTTAAATTATAGTCCCATGGTGACCACATATGTTAGATTCAATTATTATGTATTTTATTGCCAACACAGTGTAAGCTATTTTTGTCTTCATAGTGTTCCACATGTTTTCTGTTCACAAATGATCTTTGTTTCTTCAGTAAAGTATGTACTGTCTAGGAAACTCACTGATTTGACGCATTTACGTCTAATACAGATAATTTTTCTCTATTACCAAAAGTTGTATTATTTTATTCTTCTATAATATGTGACGGGATAACCATATTTGTTTCTCTGTTCAGCAAAATTTCTCTGTATCTAGTTTTTTTATGTAGAATTTGTTGTTACCGAAGGTTTATGACCAACTTTGTAGTTTATAGATCACAAAATTTATATATGNCAATATACATTGAGTTTCATTATAAAATTTTATACGTATTTTTATATTTGAATTAAAATCTAATTTTTTTAAAAAAATTCCATTTAATAAATATGAAAAATTCTTTTTTTATTAAATAGCTACTCAGATATGATTTAATAGGTAATTATTTATATAAAATTTATTCTATTATAAAAAATTATATATATATATATATATATATATATATATAAAATTTTAAATTCATCATGAATAGTGGTTTCTCCGAAAGTTTGAAAGTTAAAATAGTGGAGAAAAGGAGAAACAACTCCATGTAAATAAAATATTTTAGTTCTTAATACATTGTGTATGTGAACTTTATCTTAATTTCTCTTACCATAAATTATATCCGAATTAATCATCGCCATAAAAAGTTATATGATATTCAACTAAATCTTTAAGATATAATAATTGATATAAGACATAATAATTGAAAGGCTTACGTTTTAATGAAAAATCAAGGCTCTATTAACATTTATTTTATTGAATGTTTAAAATTTTTTTATATTTTATATAAATAATTTTATTGGTAATAAAATGTGGTGTGTTGGTCGTCTCTTTGTTTATTTTTTAATTTATCGATGTTTTTTTATTTATTTTTTAATTATCGGCCAACTCTCTCGTTTTCTTTTTAAGAGTGGTTGAGTTGTGTAATAAGTTAAAAGTAATTAAAGAATAAAAGATTAATTGATAAGTATATCATTTTGATAATTATAACTGAAACTGTAAAATATGATATATTTAAAGCTTAATTGATAAGTATTTGTATTTGATCTTCATGAGTATTCTGGTATGCTGTATCGAGAATGAAGATTGATACAACATGTTAATATAATATAACCCCAAAGATAAAGTATAGTCTAAAAGCAAACAGAGAAGAAGAAAGTTCACTGGACATGTGACATTTCACACCAAATTTTGATACTGTAATAGTTCCGAAATTTATGGTGTTGGATTGGGTCCTCTCCTCATATCACTGCGAGATTCGTAACATGTGAACTTATAAATTATGAAAGAAAAATAGTAAAATAACATATATTTAGATTCATTTAATACACATGGTCAAAATAATTATAGAAAAATATATTTTTATATTTTTTAAAAATTAAACAAAAAATTTAAAAAATAATATCAAATAAATGTAAAATATTTATCTCTCAAAATATAAATTCGTAAATACAGATATATTTAGTGATATCGCCAATATAAATTCGTAAATACAGATATATTTAGTGATATCGCCACTGATTGTGATGTTTCTTCACCCATATTTTCAATAATAGTTTGTTCACATGCATCACTTTACTGTTAAACGGTCGCTTCAATATATAAGCAAAAAATATAATATTATTATTAAGAAATTCAAAATGTAGTCACGCAACAAGTTTCTCTTTTTTTTAATCTGAGGTAGCTGATTAAATTTATTGAGTTCTATGCTATACACATAATGGAAAACGATCATGTTTGCTTACAACATTTTCAAACAATTATGATCACATAAAGCATTCATTTCGATTCTTATTTTCTGTAAAATTGTATTCGTGCCACACTCATGTTATAACAAAGACAAGAGAACAGATTAAATAAAAATATTTTGAAATTTAGCAATATATTTAAAATTAATTAAGGAAATATATTTACTTTTCATTTCCTAAAATCATTATATTCTATTTATTAAAAAAAGTTGTACTGGTGAGGTTTTAGCAACCCAACCGAAAAAAATTATACTAAAAATAATAATTTTTGGGAATCATAACTATAAACTTAATTTATAACTCTTTGTAATAAAAGTCTTATAACTTTATGTTTCGAAATAAATAATTATAGCCCAATCAAACATTTTAAAAAAGAAACAATTAGGTATACGTCAAAGAAAAAAAACAATAAAACATTCTGCTTTAATTTCTATGCAGTACATAAAGAACCTTTAAATAATTCTTTGCATATTTCATAAGAAAAAACACATAAATATATTTAAGCCCTTCCTTAAAATAATAATATTATTGTGAAAGTAAAAAGATTACAACAGTAATTAGCATAATTGTAATTAACATATTGCTTTTCCCCAAATAGGGTAAATATAAGTAATCTAAATAATCAGTAAAGGCATGGCAGGCACAGTGGAATCCAGGCAAAAGTGAGAACTATGGTATATATAATGTTAGTGACAATAAAGAATACTAATCCTTTTACTTTCATACTTTACTTTTTTACATAAGCCATACAGAATCACACGCGCGTTTTGTTTATATTCGGTGTTTATCTTTTCAGGTTTTCCCTTTTCACTTTTTTTCACCTAATTTTTTTTTATCATTTCCGTCAGCAAAAAAATTAATTAGAAAAATAATACTTTTATACACATAAATTTTATCTGATATTATTTTTTCTTATTTTTTATTCTTTTCTTTTTTAAAAAATATAAAATTTTATTTTTTATGACTAACTCAAATAAACATAAAACTGTGTCACCTTATTTTTTATTCGATAAATTAATATCATATAATTTTTATTTATACTGATATTTACTTCATTCTATTTAAACTTGTACATTAGAGAGATAAATATTTTAAGATATTTTCATCCATATTTTTATTTTTAAATAAAAATGTTATACAATGATATAATAATATTGTGAATAAATTTGGTTTTATTTAAAGAAACGATAGAATGACATATTTTTACGTTTATTTGACACATAGTAAAATAATAAAATAATATGAAAGAATTAAATTTTTGTATTTTATTTAAAATAAAAAATAAGAAGGATAATATTAAATAAATATAAAATATTTGTTTGGGTCAAAGTATTATTTGTCTCTCTTTTTAACTCTATATCGTAACTGGGAAAAATTTATTAACTCTATATCGTAAGTGGGAAAATTTTATTGAAAGTGTTTTTTATAATTTGAGTAAGTATTTAACTAGAGTTAGTTTAATCGGGTTGATTATTAAAAAACATTATTTTGTTTTTGTTTGTGTGGTCTCAAGTGCTCCACTCTCCTATAAATTGCTACTTTAAACAACACCTTGTTTAGTCACATTCATTCTCCGAAACAAAGAACAAAAGAAGAGAGAGAAAAACAATAATGATGTCCCCATGGCATGTGATCGTAGCGATTGTTCTCTCGCTGTGTGCAACAAGACTGACCCTGGCTCAGAACACTCCTCAAGACTATCTTGAGGTGCACAACCAGGCTCGAGCGGAGGTTGGCGTTGGTCCACTGTCGTGGAACCACACCCTTGCAGCCTATGCTCAGAGGTATGCGAATGAGAGGATCCCTGACTGCAACCTTGAGCACTCTATGGGACCCTACGGCGAGAATCTGGCAGAAGGGTACGGCGAAATGAAGGGTTCAGATGCTGTGAAATTCTGGCTCACTGAGAAGCCTGACTATGACTACGGTTCCAATCGTTGTGTTCACGATGAGTGTGGGCATTATACTCAGATTGTGTGGCGCAATTCTATTCATCTCGGGTGTGCAAGAGCTAAGTGTAACAATGGTTGGATGTTCGTCATCTGCAGCTATTCTCCACCAGGAAACTATGAAGGAGAACGACCTTATTGATTCTCTTTCTTATCAATATGTGCTACCTCGTAGAGTGTCCTGTTTTTATGTCTTTGTTTGGAAATCACCATGTGTAATATTCAAATATATTTAGCTATTATATGAAGACATCTATCAGTACAACCGTAATTAATTAGTTTTTTATTTTTGCTGTTATACTTGTTATTTGCTTGTTTTTGTTGGTTTAAAGTAAGTTGATGACATTGCTTTTCAAAAGAATATTTATTGATTCGTGGGGTATGATGCAAGGAGCATGTTTATCAGAGAAACAATCCACTTAACAAAATTATCTTATTTTTAATTTCTTTCTCTTTTTACAAATATAAAAATTAATTTTTTTAATAATCAAAATATTCTTAAAAATATGTTGTCAACTGATGCAACTCATGTGAAAAAAATTGACAGCACTAAACATTAATCATTAATGGCAGCATCTGTTATGGACAGTTATATTAATTTTGTAATTTTGTAACTGTTATTAATTACACATGCCAGAAATAAATAACAACAGAGAAGACATCATCAGACTGTTGAAAGTAAGAAAAAATTCAAAATTACTCACCAACTTTACATTTAGGTGTCTTTTGCGGGTCCAGAATGCTCATATAAGATGATTTTTTCAAAGGTATGCAGTGGGGGTTATAAGATTAACAAGAGTTTTGCAAGACTTTTTCTGCTGCCATATAATAATATGATATAAAAGATTTAAAGTAATGATATTTTTATAAACTTTAGAAATATATATTTATATTAACAATCAACTAACATATTAACAAAAAAGAATTTTGCAATGCAAAACTAAATCAAATTATAAAATGAATTTTGCAATGCTCTTTTAAATAGCAATTAGAATTAATTAAGTCGTGGTTCACCATTCTATCTTAAAATAAATATTTAATGATTGAATTTCTGAACATTATTTAATTATTTTCTAAAATGAGAATAATATTACATATAATTTTTTATTTTTATTTATCATGGTGTAATGAAAATTCTAAAATAATATTTGTTTACCAATATTTTACTAAGATAATTTTTATTAATATTTGTTTTTTTTTCAAAAATAACCTCAAACGAAACTTAAAAATATAGAGCAATAAATAAAACAAGACAAAATAATGTAATGAATGTCATAGGATAAAGATGATGGAAAAATATTAATGAAAAGATAATATTCACAATAAAACATTAAATGGTTGTATTA